TCAGCGGGTGGGCCTTTCACCTCTCTGCCCCCACCCTCTGGAACTCCATCCCGCAGTCCCTCTGTCTTGCCCCCTCCCTCACCTCCTTCAAGACCCACCTCAAAACCCTCCTCTTTGACCATGCTTTCGATCTCCCTGCTTCCCCCCCGACCTCCCCCCTCCCCACCCTGACCTTCAGCTCGGGTCCGTAACTTCTATCTGCCCAGCTCCTTGGGACATCCTCCCGATGTGAAAGGTGCTATACAAATGTAATTTTGGTGGTGGTGTTGTTGTCACCATTTGTTAATGACCCACCAGATCTATCTGTGGGTTTAGCTGGTAGTTTATACGGCATTGTGTTGTATGAACGAACAGTAAACATGCCAACTTCAATCCCCATAAAATCAATGTACCCTTTGGCATTATTGTTGAAAATCAACACTTTGCTAATTAAGATAGAATTTATGTATTTTCCACAGTGGGCAAGTTTAAATTTTAAGACAAATAATACGAATAATAATCCTTGCATTTGATATAGCGACTGATCACATTGTCGAGCTGTCTAAATGTAAAAGGAATGTAACAGTGAAGTCTAGTGACTGTATTTGTAGAAGAAGGCACCAGACTCATAGAATCATAGAATCAAAGTTGTCGCTTACGTAAATTTTGAACATTTTGGCATTGTTATTAATAAAATGCATAATTCTGTTGCTGTTCCTGATCCCTGACTGTTCAGCACCTTGTGATGTCCTCCCGACGTGAAAGACACTTTACAAATGTAATTTTGTTGTTGTTGCAGTTAAGTGGGGACAAAAAGCACAGAAATGGTCCAAACTCTCAGAAATGTGAAATCAACTATTGATCTTTTGAACATTTTAGCATTGTTATGAATAAAATGTATAATTCTGTTGTCCACAGTATTCTATTTCAGATATATTTACATTGATGTAGCACCCTTCAGGTAGGATAACATCTTGCATCACTTCACATAAATAGCCTCAGAAATTCCTCATTAGCTACTCAATGGAAAAAAATAGTGCATGCCTTCAGTGAGATAGAAGCACCCATACAAGCAGCTTGGGACACGTCAGCTGCCTTGATAATAATAATAATAGCGCCTTATCACATCTTCCAGACAACTCAAAGGGTTTCACAGATGAATTGACTGTATATTTTGTAAGCACAACGTGGCAGCCAATTGCCACAGCAATGTAATTGGAGTAAGGAAACTTGCCCAATGTTTCAACATGCTGGGAATCAAACCCAAGTCTCTCGGTTGCGAGGAGATTGCTCTAACTATTGAGCTACAGGACAAAAGGTTCAAGTCTAATACAATGTGCCAGGCTCACTCAATACCAACAGCTAAGTTAAGGTTCTCATGGTGAAGGACTTTTGCACATACATGTTCCCATTGTGAACTCTAATTGATTCAGAGCTTATTGGGAAAATTAGAAGTTGGGGAGGTGAGGAAGATTTCAGAATCTGCTACTTGTTCTTAAAATATCTGTGGATGAATATTTACCATGTGTGGCAATGTTAAAGATTTGTCCCTTCCGTTTATTCCTGTTCATAAAGGACACGGGTGTAATTTGCTTTGGCGCACTGTTCCTAATCTGCATGGTGTAACATTAAACTAAAACTCTCATAGGAACTGAGAATTTATGAGGACAAGCTCCTTTTCGAATTGTTCAGTTGATACACAATCATTCATGTACATGAGCAACTGGTTGTGAATAAGAAATCGTGGCTAGTCAGTATCAGTGCCGGAATGCTAAAGTGATCAAATGTTGAGGGAAAACTGTTACAAACACCACTGATAGCATTAAAATATTTTCAATGCCATTGGCGTGAAAGCAAAAGGCTTCATCGAATCAATCAGAACAGCATAACCCCCACAAAAATCTGTCAAATGCATATCAATCGACACCAATGTCAATATACCCAAAAATAAAACATAAGTAGTCTAATTAATAGAAGAAATGTAGGATCTGAGTTGAATGGATGGATGGATGGATGGATGGATGGATGGATGAGAGCTCTAAACTCATTTAATTATTCCATGAATAACATTAAATTATTGAATGGGAAAGTATCGAGTATGAAATCAAGTATGGTTGTGAAGTCCTGTAGCTTAATGGTTAGAGCACTCGTCTTGCAAGCGAGAGGACCTGGGTTCAATTCCCAGCAGAGCGAAATGTTGGACAAGTGTCCTTACTCCACACCCCCGTTTGCCTAGCAGTAAATAGGAACCCGGTTGTTAGTCAATTGGCGGATTGCTTTTCCTGGGGTAATAATCCCTTCAAAATAATTTTTTAAAAAATAATTTGGTCCCATAATCCACGACCGTTTGTGTGACACTGCTGTGTGCAATTGGCTGCCGTGTTTCACCTGCAAAACATACAGTCAATTCACTTTACAGTATATTCTGTGGAGCTCTTTGAGACATCTCGAAGACATGAGAAGGTGCTATATCAAATGCAAGGATCATTATTTATTATTATTATTATGAGGACATTATGTTTGCAGTTAATACATATGTCCATTCAGTATGTATGCTTTCTTGTGGCAAATTGGAGTGCTGGGCTGAATCGAATTGCCATTTCTTATCTTTTTGACAACTCTAAATGTGCAGCCTCCAAATAATAATAGAATAATCCTTGCATTTGGTATAGCGTCTTTCTTATTGGGAGGATGTGTCAAAGCACTTTGCAGAATTCTATTATGAAGTGCAGTGACTGTGTAGCTATAGGCAAACACAGAGCCCAAATGCACACAGCTACAAAACAAATTACATTTGTATAGTGCCTTTCACGTTGGGAGAACATCACAAGGTGATGGACTGTCAGAAATTTGGACCCAAACAAGTGGTTGTTATCAGGAGGGGTGGAGGGCAGGGAGTGTAGTGGTAGGAGGGTGACCGAAGGTGTGGTTGAAGAGGAGTGTCTTGAGATGCCTTGGAGGCAAGGGTCTGTGGGTTGGAGTTCCAAAGGGTGGGGGTAGAGTGGCTGAAGACCCTACCTCCAATGGTGGACCAGGCAGGGAACGTGAAGCAGGCCTGCTGAGTGAGTAACGGATGGGTAGATATGGGGTTAGCAGGTCACAGAGACAGGAAAGAGCAAGGCCGTGGAAGGTCTTGAATATGCGGATGAGGATTTTGAACTCCATCCTCTGGGGGATGGGGAGCCAGTGGAGCTGGGTGAGGATTGGGGTGATAGAGTCATGGAGCCTGGTGCGGGAGAGGACATGAGATGCAGAGTTCTGGATTAACTGCAGCTTGTGGAGGGAAGAGTTGGGAACAACAACAAGAAGATTCCATTTATAAAGCGCCTTTCACGTCGGGAGGACGTCCCAAGGCGCTGCACAGTTGGGTCAGGACCCGAGCAGGGGGAAATGGTCAGGGTGAGGGGAGGGAAGGGAGCGAGCGAGGAGGGGGGAAATGGTCAGGGTGAGGGGAGGGAAGCGAGCGAGGAGGGGGGAATGGTCAGGGTGAGGGGAGGGAAGGGAGGGAGCGAGGAGGGGGAAGAGAGTCGAGAGGGGAGCTGAAGGCTCGGTCAAGGAGAAAGGTTTTGAGACCGGCCTTGAAGGAGGAGAGGGAGGAAGCAGCGAAGGCACTGGAGGATGGAGTTCCAGAGCCTGGGGGCTGAGAGGCTGAAGGCCCGACCACCGATGGTAGGGCGATTGGGGCGAGGGACGTGGAGCAGACCGGAGCCAGAGGAACGGAGGGTACGGGCAGGTAGGTAGGGGGATAGTAGGTCAGAGAGGTAGGAGGGAGCAAGGCCGTGAATGGCCTTATAGGTGAGGATGAGGATCTTGAAATCAATCCTCTGGGGGATGGGGAGCCAGTGGAGGCGAGCGAGGGTGGGTCTGATGTGATCCCGAAGTCTGGTGCGGTGCGGGAAGGCCGACAAGCAGGCAAATTCGAGCCTAGATGGATGAGGCTGTCGGCAGCCTGAGGAGAGAGGCAGTGGTGGAACTGGGCAATGTTGCAGAGGTGGGGGAAGGCAGAGCAGGTCATGACACGAATGTGCAGTTAAAAAGGACAGTTCAGGTTCAAACAAGACGCCCAGGTTACTAACTGGTTTGGTGGAGTGTGCATCCATGGATGGTAATGCTGCCAGTACCTAAGGTGAGGAGGTCACTGACGGGAGCCAATAAGAAGAGTCTCGGTCTTGTTGACGTTCAACAATAGAAAGTTAGTTCTCATCCAGGACTCGATGTCTGACAGACATTCTGTGGGTCCTGGAGGTGAGGGTGGAGGCAGAGGTAGAGTTGGGTGTCATCCGCATACATGTGGAAGTTGACTCCATGTCTGCGGATGATGTTACAAAGAGGGAGCATGTACAGGTGAAGAGGAGGGGATCAAGGACAGAGCCCCGAGGAATGCCGCAGGAGACGGTGCGGGTGCGAGAGGAGAAGCCATTTGTGGAGACAAAGTGGAGACGGTGTGAGAGGTCGGATCTGAACTAGTCAAGTGCAGGATCATGAAGGTTGCGGTAAAAGGAGAGGCGACGGAGGAGGATTATCACACAATGAACAGGGATTAATTAATTAATTAATCAATTAATGAATGAATGAATGAATGAATTTATTAATTAAATAAATTTTAATCAGGTATTAAACAGATGATCAATTTGATAACTACATTCGTTTTCAGTCAACATTTAAAGTGGGGTTAATTGTGAAGAAAGTAATTTATCTCAAAGTTTAATTAAAAATTAAAAATATTGGAGCACAAAACTTGGTGATTTCAAGTAGGATTCTTTAATTAAGGAAATAGAGTGGGTTTCTTCCAAGTAACTGATAATAATAATGATAATAACAAGTATTATTATGTCTACTTTGGGACCAATGCAGTAAGTAATAATAATAATTACTAACTAAGTTACTCACAAAGTGGATCATGTTGGAATGCACTCCTATGAGACAGAGAGTTTGGCATCGGTTTTCTTAATTAAGAATTCCCATTTTAGATTTCGATCTTTCAAAAATTCCAAAATGTTTGGGAAGCTGAGAACACTTACTGTGGAGGCTTTGTGAAATATTGATGATTGTCTCTTCTGTAAATCCTTTCAGTTGAATCATCTTGGCACATCTCAGTTCAGCATGAGTAGACATTTCCTCAGTTGTTATCCAGCAAACCAGTTCTTCATCATAAATAAAATCCAATGCAATGATTCCATTTACACTAACAGAATTCAGTGTTGAAACATTTGATCCACTTAGACTGGTTGTCATAATGCTTCTGATATTAGCAATTAAGAGGACTGGTGGTCGATCAATAGGTTCTGAAAGGAATGGAACAAAGATAATGTTAAAAGTGTTTTTTGAAATCCAAAATATGTTAAAAATCGCAAAACTGATAATCGTTAAAGAACTTGCAAAAAGCATTTGAATTTCACACCAAGGTAATGCAACTAAACTCTATTTTTTGATTGCTGCAAATATGCATTGGGATTTTTTTATGTACATTTTCTTACAAAATAAATGACAACAGTTTAAAGGGAAGGTCACTGTTTCAAGTTCCAGAATTACTTAAAACTTAAAATTACCTGCCTCTGTGGGTTAACTTTCCTTTGGTCACTGTAGACCTCTAAATTAAACAATGTATGGTAACAAGATGTTTTATCTCTGGAAAGGGAAATCTGGCATCATTAACTCATGCTGATCAAATAGCACTTCCCACCGGATAACCGGTCAGCAGAAATGGCCTTCATTAAAAGATAATTAAAGGAATAGCTTTTAGCAGTTCCTTACTGAAGCCAGAAACTTATTGGCAAGCCATTTACGAGGATATTTAAATAATATTGCAAAATAAGTTTTTATTATCAGCAGTCTCATTTTGGTTGTCTACAATCTTCAGTGATACCAAACTGAATCTTGTACAAAAATCAATCGTTTGGCATGGCGGCAAGATCAATGATTTGCACATGACTATTCTACGGAGCAGATGGGAAACAAATGGTGTTAGTCAAAAGAGATAAAGTTCAATTTAATTGGAGAGAAGGTGGGGAAATGGGATTAGTGTGCTAATAAGTGGCCATTAATAAATAACATGGTGTAACAGTTTGATTGGCTGAATAGATTGCTTGTATTCGTATGTTTCTGCATTGAAAAGTGCCAAGAGCTCAAATGAGCACCATCCTTTATGGTAAGATGACGAGAGAAAACCAAATGAGCAGGAATTGATTTCTTCTCCTGGTGGGTTCATCAGTTGAAAGTACATACTTTTAAATTAGGGCTAAACAGGCTAGGACCAAGGTGAGGAAAAAGCCATAGATTAGCAATTAGATTAAAGATTTAATAAAGAGGTGGGAAGATACTTGGGGAATTGAAGTATATGGGGATATGGCTGGAAGGAGGGATAAAGAGAGGCTGCTGTACAAGTGTCATGAATAGATTTTCCTGTTCATAATTTCCATTTTCATATTTATAAGCTTTTGTTTTTGTTCGCCCACAAAAAATAGTTAACCCACTTTACAGTATATCATGTGAAACTCTTTGAGACGTCTTCCCAATGTGAAAGGCGCAATACCAAATTCAAGGATTATTATTAAATATTCAAGAAGGCACTCAACCATTCTCATTTGAAATTGAAAATATTTTTGCTCAAGTGGTTAATTAAACAACCTGTAACATTTCAAGTCGGAATAAAAGTATAAAAATCGTAAAGATTAGCTCTGTGGTTCGCAGCATTTATTATTAGCTGCATTTAATTTCATGACATTTTTTCTGTCACAAATTCCTCGAGCCTCTATTTATTGCTTCACAATATTCAGATCATATTTCAAGTCTCGCAACTGCTTCAAGTAGACAATTTAGAAATTTTGCATTTCTGGACCACTGTTTATACACTGTTTATATGCTGCTATTGAATGATGTTCTCCCAAACAAAATGCCCATTTATTCTCTTCTTAGGCAATGTTTATTCTGCCTCTATATATTAATATACATCTGAGTGAGCTCAGATCAAGTCTGACAGTGAGAATGTGATACACGGCATGAATTCATGTTGGCGATATGTTTTTAGGTTGCTGGTTGTCGGCAGTAACATCATATTCAGTGGGGAGGTGTGTGATTTCCCAAACCTTCCCAGGTACCTTTTGTAGTTATAGGGGATGAAATAATTAAGGGGATCGAGGGTATCCTCTGCAGTCGAGATCGAGAGTCCATAAGGGTGTGTTGCCTTCCCGGTGCCAGAGTAAGGGATATTTCAAAGCAGCTGGAAAGGAACTTGGAAAGGGAGGGGAAAGAACCAGTTGTCGTTATCCATGTGGGAACCAATGTCATAGGAAATAACAAGAAGGAGGTCCTGCTAAGGGAGTATCAAGAGCTAGGGGCTTAATTAAAAAACACTACCTCAAAGGTGGTAATCTCTGGATTGCTACCCGAGCCATGTGCAAATTGGCCTAGAGATAAACACATCAGGGAAATGAATGTGTGGCTGAAAGTATGGTGTAAGAAGGAGGGGCTCCATTTCATGGGACACCGGGACCAGCACTGGGACAGGAATGAGTTGTACTGCTGGGATGGGCTGCACCTGAACAGGGCTGGAACCAAGGTAATAGCGAAAAGGATAAATAGGACTGTAGAAAAAGCTTTAAGGGAAAGAACCAGTAAAAGCTTTAAGCTTTAAGTAAGAGTGGGTGGGAGGGGGTTGGAGAGGTTCAAGTGGAAATAACCAAAACATAAGGCAAGGAGAGGATGAGAGCATTCGTCAAAAGACAAATAATGATAAAGATAACATAAATACTCCTGGAAAGAAAAAGTTAATAGGAAATTTGACAAAAGGTATAACAAGTCAAAAAGTGTGAGAAGAACATTGTCAGGACATATAGGCATGTTGGGGACAGTTACCCAAATAAGAGTTATGTATACAAATGCACATAGCATAAGAAATAAAACAAGTGAGTTAGAAGCACAAATTCAGCTTAAAGGGTATGATGTAGTAGCCATCACAGAGACCTGGTTTCAAGCTAGGCAGGACTGGGAGCTAAATATTCCAGGCTATAAATCTTTAGAAAAGACAGGAACATTTGGGAAAGGAGGAGGAGTAGCAATATTGATAAAAAATACTGTTACAGCAGTGGAAAGGAAAGATTTCAGTAAGGGCGATCAAGTAGTGGAAACACTTTGGGTAGAATTAAGGAACAGCAAAGGAGGTAAGACTCTGTTGGGAGTAGTCTACAGACCTCCAGAGAATTGTGATGTAGTGGGGAGATGTATAAATACAGAGATCAGGGAAGCATGTAGCAAAATCAATGTGGTTTTAAATGGACATTTTAATTTTCACATAGATTGGGAGAGGCAGGACACCTCAGGTAGCAAAAGCAACAAATTTCTAGAACGTATTCAGGACAGTTTTTCGGAACTATATGTTTTAGAACCAACAAGGGAATAAGCCATGTTGGATTTGGTGATGAGTATGAGCCAGAATTCTTAATGACAGTAAGGGAACATCTTGCAAATAGTGATCATAATATGATTGAATTTGACATTAGATTTGAGAGGGAGAAAGGAGAGTCCCAATCGAAGGTTTTAAATTTAAGTAAGGCAAACTTCCATGGGGATGAGAAATATATTGACCACAGTAAACTGGGCTGAATTGTTAATGGGTAAACCTGCAGATGAACAATGGGAAGTACTCATAAAAGTATTTGATACAATAAAGAATAAGTACATACCCCTAAAATACAAAAGCTCCAATTGTACAGTTAAGCAACCATGGTGGACAAAAGAAGTTAGAGACCGTATCAAGCTAAAAGAAAACTTACTCAAATGCAAGAAAAAGTGGGAATGCAGAGGATTGGGAGAACTACAAAAGGCAACAAAGGGGTACAAAGAACATAATTGAGGAGCAAAAAGGGAGTATGAAAAAAAAACTTGCAAGGGATATTAAAACCAATAGTAAAAACTTTTATAAATATATTGAAGAAGGAGAATGGTCAAAGGAAATGTGTGTCTGTTAAAGGCAGATGTAGTTGAGACTATAATGGAAAATAAGGAAATGGCTGACTTGTTAAATCAATACTACGCTACTGTTTTTACAGCAGAGGATGAGGACAAAATACCAGCCATACAGGGGAACCAAAAAATAAGTCAGAGAAATGCTTAATAAAATGAATATAAATAAAAAAATGGTAGTGGAGAAAATAATGAGACTCAAGATAGACAAATCTCCAGGACCTGATAGTTTGCACTCCAGGGTGTTAAAGGAAATAGGAGAAGAAATTGCAGATGCATTTGTCATAATTGTGCTCACATCCATTCACTTCCTGGCACCTCCCTACCTCTCCGACCTCCTCACTCCAGTACCCCGCTCCTCCGCTCAACTGGCACCGGCCTCCTGCTCGTTCCTCGCACCCTTTGCCCCACCATCGGAGGTCATGCTTTCAGCCACTATGCCCCAAAACTCTGGAACACTCTCCCTCTGCCTTGACCTCTCTCTCCTCTTTTTCAAGTCCCGACTGAAAACCTCCTCTTCAACCGTGCTCATGGTCACCTCCCCACCCCCACCTCCCACTGTTAAGTGCTCTGAGATGCTATCCTGCGTGGAGGGCATTATATAAATGCAAGTTATTGTTGTTATTTTTCAAAGCTCACTAGATTCGGGAATTGTGCCCTTACAAGCCTATGTAAAGTATTGTACAATTTGTGGATGGATCCAGCATCCACAGCCTTTTGGGGGAGAGAATTGCAGATTTCTACCACCCTTTGAGTGAAAAAATGATTTCACTCTTAAAATTATATAAATAATATTGTGTATATAATTTACCTTCCCTTGTAAAAACATATGCTATTGAGTCTCAATGTATTGGGAGAACATTAATGATAAATAAACCTTTCTTTCGTGTCCAGCCATTGTGTGTTGCTAAGGGATATTACAATATCCATTGTTTTTATCAAGGGATGGAAAATGTGCAATGTTGGGATCATGAAAAAGCAGTGCCTTTTTATGCTGTATTTTTACCATAACAACAATTGACAATGTTATGCGGTAGCCTTTCTATTCGAGTACACTAGGGACAGATTGAGGTAACTTTAAAACAGACGTTTTGAGATTTTTTTTACTCTATTGGATGCCGAAACCACAAGTGATTGAGGTATCAACAAACTGTGGATTTTTTATGTAGCCCAAAAGGCACACTTCAAATGCCACAAAACAGACAATGGCCAATATTACGTTCAAGGAACTGATTTCGTGGTTGGGAATTTCATGGGCAGGTGAATGAGTAAAGCTTAAGTCCTGCAAACTCTTTTTGTGCTGTAATGGGCACTTGCTGTTAGA